CCCCGTGACACTCTCATCTCGTTGTGCTGCTGTCTCTGCGCATCCTGACTCGCTCCCTCCGCCTCTACCAAAGGCCCGTCCGTCTCCCTACCCGTCAGGTCAGCTGGATACCAAGTTGTGAATCAGAGATGCCCCGCCCGCGCCTTCAAAGGGAAAACTTTGAGCAGTCGAGGCTGGGAAGGGGGAGTAAAAAAGGGGGAGGGGGGGGTACGGCGCAGCAGCAGCCGTTAACCACAAAGCTGTTTGGAATACATTAAAATGCCCTCACTTTTATCATTCTTTCAATTATTAATATTTCCCAGTCCGCCAGTTTTGCCTGTCGCGCCGGCCGCCCGGCTGCAAACATAAATTCTATGTACTATTGTTTTTCGTTAGGGATTTAAAGTTTCAGGAGGAGCGACGAAGGAGCAGCGCTGTCTTCCCGGAATGAACAGCCGCTGGTGTTGTTGCTGGTGGTGGCGTCGGAGTCACAACCGGACAACAGCATCCTTAAAACTACGCGAAATGTCTTGCAAAGGCTATTTTTATCTTAAATAAAAAAAAGGAAACTGTCCTTAGCATGAGGCAAATATCGTTAAAATAAAGTAAAACTTTGTCGTTGGTTAAACGAAATTTCATTGAAAACAATGGAAATACCTGAAACCAAAAATAAATATTTCCTTGTAATTTTAAAAATGAATTTTCCTTTGGTTTGAGGATACTATTTTCTGGGTGCAGGGCATTCGCCATCCGCAATCATTGTACACTGGCATAACAAAAAGATTGGACGACGCCAAACTTTTCGTACTGGGGCACGCTGCGCGGGAATTCTCATATCTTTGAGGCGCATGTCCTATCGGCAATGTTGACGCGTCCCGCGTACAAAAGAGGCTCTAGAGCACACTTCAAGCACCGTCGTTGTTGTGGCCCGATGGACGCGCTCTTCTGGTGAACGCGATCGACGACGAGTACATGGCTCGCCCGTTTCTCTTTCCCCCCTCGAGCCTCGCCGTAACTTTGCCTACCGCTCCCGGACATGACTGATGTGGCCGCCCCGCTCCGCCCCGCCCCGCCCCGCCACACTGATGGTGGAGTGCGCGCGGCAGACACGCGCGACAGCGATATATTTCATTTCTGCACAGCGAGGCACGCGCCGTCGCCCCCGGAACGTTACAAACGAGAAAGTGAGCCGGGCCGCGAATGTGCGCGCGACAGAGCGGGCCGAGGCACAAGACGCGCCTAGAGTCTAGAGTTAGAAAATTACGAGGAAAATTACCAAAAATTTTCCGAAAAATCTCAGAAAATTTCCGGAAAATAACAAAAAGCTTCCAAAATCTGGGAATTTTTTTTTCATTTTATCCTTAAATTTTCCGGAAACTTTCCAGGGCTTCCAACCTTACCCGCGTCTTGTAGTACTCCAAGTGATGTACTCTGCTCATGCCTCAAAGTGTACGATTTTGCAATCCCTTTCGACCTTGTTGGGACAAATTTCTATCGATTTCTTGTGCTGTTTTTTGTCATCTGAGCTCAGAGAGAAAATTTCCGCACCGCAGAAACATTTGTTTTGAATGATTTTACGTGTGATTTTACATGGCGTCCACCACCACACGCGCGCGCAGCACACCCTGCCGCTGTAGCGCCTGGACTCGGAGGGGCTGGCTTTGAAACGGGTGGGTGGCGGCCGGCCCACTCGGCTGGCAAGCGCAGAGTGCATCCGGAAATTAGTTTCCAACTCCAACGCGCTACGACACGCCGCCGTGCCACCGCTGCAACTTTGAAACGCCCCCCCCCCCCTTTC